CAGTGTCAGACTTCTGTATGTAAAGATATGAGCCTGTCCAGAGCGGGGCCTTCAAGAGCTCAGAGTGCCATTTGGGCACAGTTTTGGAGCACATCTTGAAGAACACAAGCTATGCAAGTTGGACCTTAGATCCAGACCTGAGTTGCTACAGGTGCTCAGTCTGTCATGCCAGCACACCCAGCGCCACGGGGCATGCTCAGGGAAGGACCTAAGGTTTTTGTTAACACAACCAGCAAAATAGCTCCTTTCTACTGAGGACTGTTTAGGGTTTGGCACAGGTGCTACGTGGCGAGGCATCCAAGGGAATTTGGCTTGCAGGCTGTGCTTGCCCCAGCCTTAGCTTGCTATGCCTTTGTTGAGGTCAGCTGGAGCTTGGGTAGGTGGCCAAGCCCATAATTTGTATCATAGTAGGAGTTTCAGAGTACAGCCTAGGAATCAGGATTTTGGTAGCTTACCTTAAGGGATTTGAATCCATTGCTCTCCCAGCATGGGATGCTCCAAATAAAAATGTGCGCTCTGTGGATATCCACACCTGTAAATAAAGCTGAAGCACGTGGCTTGTAACAAGAGCTGCTGTGAATGACAAAGTTTACTCCGCTTCAAGGGAACACTGGGCAAGTGCATGGAAAAAGAAAGCCATTGAGGGTTACTGAATACACAGAACCCACTACTCGCTCAGGAAATCCCTGTGCCAGATATAGCTGATAACTATGAGAGTCCTTGTAGGAAGAACCTCTTTCCTAGCATCCCCTCTTGGTGACTGCTCAGGGAGGCATACTGGCCTGGAAGGACTCTTGGCATGATCCAGTAGAGGCTCAGTCTCAAGGGGAAATCAGACAGCAGTCACCTGAGTCACTGGGGTAGTACGTTAGGGAGGCTACCGGATGAGAAGAAACTAGAGGTTTCTCTCTCTACAGAGAGAACAACACTGAATAATAAATAAATAAATAAATAAATGAACCTGGGACAGGGACCTGCGTGCCAAATAATACACGTCCAGTGCTCCAGTCCTCCCAGGAGAGTCTCTCTGCCAAAAAACAACTAGACATTATTGTTGGTAACCAGCTGGTGGTAGCTGCCACCTCCCTTTACAGTACTCGAAGCAGCGAGGAACAGGCAGTGGTTTCACAGGCAAGCTCCCAGTTTCACCAAGTAGCCTCAGCTTTGGGACTGTTGCCCACACTGGCTCAGGAGCTGTTCAGGTGGCTCTCTCTTCCCTGGCATATCCTGTTGCTCAGCAAGTTGGCCACTGGAAATCATACTTAGCACCCTCTACCCCGGGAGGGAGGCAGCTGGGGTTATAGTATATGCAGAAATATAGATGCTGAAAGCTGCTCCCAAAGCAGGCACTTAACTTCAGGTGCTGCAACATAGAGCACCACAGTGTCCAAGGCACTCTGCTGACTGCCAGTCAAAAAGTGCAACTCCTGGGCAAGTAGCCAAGCACTGGAGGTACTTGGGTTTTGCAGTCCCAGAGTATTCAGATTTAACAAGTTGTATCAGTTTTTGTTACCAGTGACCCATGCCATCCTCCTCACTGCACTGTGCTCTGTCTTTTCTTCTGCAACCTGAAAAAAACCCCGCTAAAGTAGACAAAGCTGCACATACAAGTTTGAGGCAGAACAGGTCTGGGAATCTATTCCTCCATTGCATGAGGGTAGTAAGTGGAAAGGTTACCCTCACTTTTACAACACCCCATTCATGAGGCCACTGAGAAGCTTTAAGAAAAGGATCATAAGGGTAGGGGCCACAACTGAAAACTATATATTTTTTTAATACTAAGCGGAGTTTTTGACTTGCCAAATGCTGAGCCAAACTTCCATTGTTACCTTGTAGTAGGTGGGGAAGCCCACAGAGAGAGAGGTTAGCACTCTGCAGATGTTCCCTCTAGTTATGTCATGATCTTCCTTGTTACTGAAATACATGTAAAGAGTGACATCACTCATTTTAAAGTTGCCCTGAAACACATTTCCTTGACTCATATAATAGAAACTACCTTCAGCTGACCAGTGGGAATGTCTCCAGAAAGTGCTGTGAATGCTCTGGAAAGAAAATAAAAAAAAAAAAAAAAAAAAAAAAAGGAAACAGTTGTTCTGTAGCATGCTCAAGGGGGATTTTATAATTGCTCCTACTTCATCTACAAGCTGGTTTCTGACCTACAATAAGCTGGTTTCTGACCTACAATTCAAATGTTTCATCACTCTATTTCTCTTAGAAGTGTTATCTCTAGCAAATAAAACCCAGAGATGAGATATCACCTCCTGATGATTAAGCAACAAACCTGATTGATTCCCTGGCTAATGATTTTCTGAGATCTTTGGAGTGTGGTTAAAGTTTAAAACCTTGGGGAGCACAGGAGTTTTGGAGGACAGTGCCCATACCAGCAGACAGGGCCTCCCTCAGGCCTTGAATTTGGCCCCCCGAGGGACCTGACTATACTGATCTTGCTGAAGGGGATACCTGGGAGTAGCTACGTGGCATGGGCTGGTGGGGGGACAGCTTAAAGGCAGGACAGCTGCTGGAAGCAGTTTAGCGCTAGTGACATGGGTCTGGGCAAAACCTTGCTAAGATGAGGGCACGAGGTACTACAGCAGTGCCCTGAGTGGGTTCTGGGGATCTGTGATAACCCACCTGGGCTACTTCCAGCTAAACTTGGCTCCAGCCTTGCTGGTTGCCTTCTTGACCTTCTCTTGACGCTCACACAGGTCAAGCTATTGCCTTATTTCTTCCTGTCTGGAAAAGCTCTCAGTATTGCCTTTCTACAGTAAATCTTTTTTTCTTCTTCTTTTTTTCCTTTGTTATCTGTAAGTATTACCAGTTACTCCTTTCATCCTTTCTTGAAAAGAAAACTAAAAGCAGAGCTTCCAAGTAGAAGGATTTGTGTAGTTAGGGCATTAGCTTTTAGATAGAGCCAAATCATGCCTCGCAGATGATGCATTGCACCTGATGTAACTCACATCTGACAAACACAGCTAGTACTGGCAGGGAGAGGTTTGCTCTGTGTGCAAGGGCGCTCTCTGTTTTGCCATTTATCATCTGTGGTGCACCTAACATTTTGTCCTGTAGCCAGCAAACTTGATTTTTGCAAATGCAGGAAATACAGAAAGCTTCTCATGCTCCTTTTGAATCTGGCCTCACATGGGTCCTTGCCAACACAACAGGACACTTAAATAAGACCTTTATTACCTTGCTTCTGCTTTGGTTCCTGTAAACAAGACATGGGAGAGCTGAATTACAAATCAATTCACATATTTAATTTGTATGCTCCTGGTAAACTGGAGAGGGGCTACGTCTTCTCCCTGTATTCTGCCTAGCTTGTATATTTTTCTCAAAAACAACAACAAAAAATGTATCTGTTCAGTGCTGTGTTTGAGGTTTTTAAGGCATCTGTTAAAAAAAAAAAAAAATCACAGAATCACAGAATGGTTGAGGTTGGAAGGGACCTCTGGAGATCATCTAGTCCTACCCTCCTGCTCAAGCAGGGTCACCTAGAGCATACTTCCCGGGATTGCATCCAGGCAGGTTTTGAATATCTCCAGGGAAGGAGACTCCACTACATCTCTGGGCAACCTGTTCCAGTGCTCACTCACCCTCACAGGAAATAAGTTTTTCCTCATGTTCAGATGGAACTTCCTGTGCTTCAGTTTGTGCTCGTTGCCTCTTGTCCTGTTGCTGGGCACCACGGAGAAGAGTCTGGCCTCA